CAAAACAACACGGCGCACTGCAGTCCGGAGGCAATGTCGCGGTTACCTCGCCGCCTAGATCTTATCTCGACCCGCCGCGGACTGGCCCTGGTGGTCCAACAGGCAAGGGTGTATTGTATAGACGGGACGCCGTCAAAAGAAGAGGGGGGGGGGGCAGATGTGCGAATTATTTAGGATATCTTTCGCAATTCTTCAAGACCTGATCTTGGAAGTCAATGGCGTTCTCCATCATATCGAAGACAGGGTAAAAGAACTTTATTCGCCGTGTTCAAACCTTGGCGCTCGTTGGTGCACTCTTGCAACAATGGAGCGATGTGTCCCTCGCGGTCTTTTTGCAGACTGCGTTACATGCTGTTCGCGCGTAATGTTTTCAACCCCCACCCCGTGCGTGCCACTCTGGCAGGGGAGGCTCCTTGGCTGTTCCATTCGAGTCTGGCGACATCCCGGCCCAGCTTGCCCAGCCCCACCCCACCAGAGTGTTCGCGGAAGGTCGGGCGGGCGGAGCGGCATTTATCGAAAGGTTATGCTGCACCTTGCTCTGGCAAATAAGCCCCCCGGGGGTCGGGGGGTAGGGGGTATGTAGGTCGAGGCGGAGGTGCGAAGTAATAACGTCGCCTTGCTCCGCCTAATCTCCCCCACCCCTCCTCCCCTCTCCCGGAGATATTGTTCCTCCCGCCCACACCCGGACGCTCCCGGATGCTCCACTTTGGTGAACTTCGCGTTCTCGCCCGTTCTCCCCGCACCGCTCTTAATGCGGCCTGAATGTTTAAAGCCCCGGCCGCCTCGCCAATACCTGCACCCCCGCCCGGCCCCGCTCGCCCCGCTCCACCCCGCTCCGGCCCGGCAATCTACTCCAGGAAAAGTTTCGCACCGAACGCACGTGAGTTGTGTCAATGCCATGCCATGTTGTTGAGGACGCCGCGTGGAGGTGGCTGCATGGTCTTGGTGCGCGGGGCGGGTGTCGGGGCTGGGCGGGGTGCTGCCTTCGGGGTTGTGCGCGTTAACACGTTCAGTGCGTAGTGGCCCACACCGTGGGTCACCGCTTTTTGTCCCACTGTGCGTCGTGACCCACACCGTGGGTCACGCGAAGTTTACCAAAGGGCCGGATAGTGCCTTGTAAGTGTGCATTCATATGGTGTATTTTTAATTTTTCTAAAATAATTAGGGCGGCCCCGACAGCCTTCGGCTTCTGGGACATCCTTCTCTTGTCGGCTCCGCACTCAACGTGTTAATCTACGCTGCAGTCATATCGGCGCACCCCTCAGCCCGCCCTACGACCCGCCGTCCTGAAGTCGGCCACCCCTGGGGGCTCGAGGCCCAAGGCCCTTCATTTATACCAGAGCGCCTTGTGCCTTGTGTCGGGCGCCGCCCGGGCGCGCCCTGGCGCCGGTGTACCTGGACCCCGCGCCTCCACCCCCTCAGCTGTTGACACCTCCAGCTCGGGTCGGGGTGGGGGGAGGGCTATAACTCTGTGGACTTGACAAGACACATGTTGGTCCTGGACGCCGCGCCGCCGCCGCCCCCAGGTCGCCCCCAGGGGCCCCAAACGCGAGGAAGGAGAGTGTGTTGCTGACATGGTGCTGACGTGGGGTCGGGGCCACTCAGCGCACCCCTAAGGGGGCTCCTCGGCGAAACGTGTGACCGCCGTATTACGCTGTAAAACAATGTTGTAAATTAACAGATTTTGTTACTTATTTATTTCACTGACTTGTGCTGTTGGACAACAACATCGCTTGTAATGTAACTACAGCATTTGTATAACCGCCGTACTAAAGGGACGACAATTGTCGTACAGTCACAAGTGTTTGCTGTCTGTTAACATCAAAGGTTGTAAAATAACAACAAATGTTGTTAATTAACGAGAGAAGTTAAAAGTTTACAACAGCAACAACAAACAACAGTAGAAAAAAAGTTGATCGAAAGACATGTTATTTACCAATTGTACCGCACTTTCTTTTTTTACAGTTATGCCTCGGAGAAAAATTGATTAAAATTTTGGTCAGCCAATATTTGGTGTGGTGTCGACAACGTCTGA